CCCTTAATAATAAAATATACTTCTTACAGTACAAAGAACAATTTCATTCAATTAGAAAATAATTAACATATTCTAATTAAAAGTTCCTTATTTCCGTTAATTTCAGTTAAAAAATTATTTCCGTATTCACGGAAATACTCATTCGTGCCCATTAACGAATAAAATATCGACACGTTAATATTATAATATTAAAAAAGTTCCCTTTCATATTAAACATTTCGTTAAACCGGCAGAAATATGAAAAAGAATTTTCCGAGCGTTAAACAATCCCTACGACGAGAGAGGGAAAGTTTCAACTTTGCAATACTCTGTCAGAATATACGCCCCCTAAATTTTTTTACGAACGTTCATTTAATACGCGATAAATTTCATATTGCCCCACTGAATCTCATTTTTCGCCTTCTCTTTGTGCCCACCTGCACGTGGTTTAATATTTTATCACAGGGATAACGCGAAACAAAAAACCGACGGTAAAACGTACTTACGTCCGGAAGATTTCCATAAAAAAATTTATTACGACCCCCGCTATCGTCTTTATTATTTTTTTACATTGTTTATCGAAAACGACAACGTCCCACGCTTTTTTCGGGAAGCTACGAACGAGCACTAATGGCACAAAAATTTTCGCCGGTTACCCGAACGTCTCGCTCCGCTCGAGTCTTTCCAAATCATTAACCAAAAATCGCTCGACGCGAAATTAACGAGGCGAGACGAGAAAAATCTCGTCTGGGGGAAAAACTCATCTGGCGACACGGATTTCCCGCTTGTGGAGCCAACGTGTTTTGTCCGACGTTTACTTCCGGAGTCGATTTCGAAAGATGTAAATTATGCTGTCGACGATTAAAATTTTATTTTGATACTTTTTAAGGAGGATTTTATGGAACTTTTGTTATGATTAATTAGAAACGATTTATAAAATGATTTTGGGAACATGTGGGAGGATGGAAACATAACCTCTAAAAGAATTATTAAATTATTAACATTTAAATGAACAAAAATTGGCTGAATATATTAAATTTTTGTTAGACAAATAATATTGTAGGATTCACGACAAAAAACTGACAAATAGAACGCTGTAATGTAGTTTGATAATAGCCTTTCGAACGCCATTATAATTGGCGGGAAATTCAAACTGGATTTCTTTCATATAAAGATATATGTCAAACAATATTAGAAATTAATAAATAATATTACGTAACAAATGATGCTATTTAATAATAAATAATATTATGTAACAAGAGATGGTGTAAAATAATAATTCATATTATGGCGGGAAATTCAAACTGGATTTCTATCATATTAAGATATATAGCAAACTATATTAAAAATTAATAAATAATATTATGTAAAAAATGATGCTATTTAATAATAAATAATATTATGTAACAAAGGATGGTGTAAAATAATAATTAATATTATGGCGGGAAATTCGAACTGGATTTCTATCATATTAAGATATATGGCAAACAATATTAGAAATTAATAAATAATATTACGTAACAAATGATGCTATTTAATAATAAATAATATTATGTAACAAGAGATGGTGTAAAGTAATAATTAATATTATGGCGGGAAATTCAAACTGGATTTCTATCATGTAAAGATATATAGCAAACAATATTAAAAATTAATAAATAATATTACGTAACAAATGATGCTATTTAATAATAAGTAATATTATGTAACAAGAGATGGTGTAAAATAATAATTAATATTATGGCGGGAAATTCGAACTGGATTTCTATCATATTAAGATATATGGCAAACAATATTAGAAATTAATAAATAATATTACGTAACAAATGATGCTATTTAATAATAAGTAATATTATGTAACAAGAGATGGTGTAAAATAATAATTAATATTATGGCGGGAAATTCGAACTGGATTTCTATCATGTAAAGATGTATGTCAAACAATATTAAAAATTAATAAATAATGTTATATAAAAAATGATGCTATTTAATAATAATTAATATTGTAGAACAAAGGATGCTATATAGTAATAAATAATATTATGTAAAAAATGGTGCTATTTAATAATAATTAATATTATATAACAACGGAAATTTTATACATTGTCAAATCTTGTCTTGCAATTGTAATATTAATATTAAACAACAAAATTAAAATTATATAACGTTGTATAAAGTTAACATAACATTATTAAAATTATATAACAGTCTGCAAAGAATTGCCCCAAATAAACATTAATATTTTCAAACTTTCTAAAAACAGTACAAAATAATGAATCCAGCTTTAATTAATTCATGTTATAAAATGACCCAGCTTTTAATTAATCTGTGTTGCAAAATAATTCAGTGTTTAATCAATTTATGTTACAAAATAATTTAATTTTTAATCACTTTACGTTACAAAATAATTTAATTTTTAATCAATCTGTGTTACAAAATAACACAGTTTTTAATTAATTTTCTATTAGAAAATAACACAGTCTTTAATTAATTTTGTAACCAGACAAAGTTCACAGTGCACCACTGTCTAAATTTTTGAAGCATCATAAATGAACGAATGCACCGACCATGTAAAAGCGCGAACTTGTAAAAGAATTGTAAACGATCCCAAAGCGGCTGCAACCCTTAACAGGTGCTCGATCTCTCGACAGGGGGTGGGTTCGTAAAAGCGTGTCATGGCGGGGGGTGAACCGTGTTGACGGCTGTAATTCAAACGGATTATACCCCGGGGGTGTCTGAGGGATGAGATCCAAATGAGTCGCTACCAGCGTAACCTGTCACCCTTAGAACAATCCGGACCACCCTCTACATATTTTCACTCGATCAGTGGGTTACTGTTCTTCTGGATCATAATTTTTGCTACTCTCTGTGTTACTAGAAAAGCTTTTGGTAATTTTATTTTATGAAAGTTTATTCAGAACAAACCTCACCCTCTAAAAATTTAATGTAGTGCAAACAAATATTGGCAATATCTTGTTAAAGATTGAGCTGAAAAATTTAAGAGGTCTGAAACAGTTTGAAATTACAGGTACAATTTTTAAACACGCTTTCAGAAATTAAAAATAAGGAGATATGAAGTTGCAAGCTTAAGATTCTTACGACTCCCGTAAAAGAAATTAAAATATTAACAGGTTATGGTCGTTAAACTTGCTTAACACGGAGATCCCTGTAATCTTGTTCTTGTTATTACTTTTGGTACAAACACGTGGTGGAAATTGAATGTTTATGAAGTGCTCTTTGCCTTTTGTAATATTAACTTAATTATGCAATTTAAGACATTTTTAAATGGATAGCAATTAGTGTATTTTTAAAAAAATATTTAACAGACACGAGGATCAATTACTGACGTGATTCTGAATAAGATTTCCCTTTGCAAAAATGGCGTGTGAAGCACCGTTTTTGAGTTATTAAGGAAAAACACGGACCAATCGGAGTGCAAGGATTATTACGCGTTGGATTACTACGCGTTGGATTCCTACGCACAGAATTACCACGCGCTGCATTACTACGCGTTGGACTACTACCCGTTGAATATCCACGCGCTGGATTACGACGCGTTGGATATCCACACGCTGGACTACTACGCGTTAGATTACCACGCATTAGATTCCTTCGCTTAGAATTGCCACGCGTTGCATTATCACGCGTTGGATTACTACGCGTTGAATATGCACGCGCTGGATTACTACGCGTTGGATATCCACACGCTGGATTACTACGCGTTAGATTACCACGCATTAGATTCCTACGCTTAGAATTACCACGCGTTGCATTCTTACGCGTCAGATTACAGCGTTGCATTATTACGCGTTGGATTATTACGCGTAGAATATGCACGCGCTCGATTACTATGCGTTGGATATCCACACGCTGTATTAGTACGCGTTGGATTACTACGCATTGGATTACTACGCGTAGGATTACCACGCGTTGCATTACTATGCGTTGGATTACCCCGTTGGTTAACTACGCGTTACGAATGCGTCAAGGGTGGGTTAAGGGTGCGTCAAGAGTGCGTCAAGAGTGCGTCATGAATGCGTCAAGAGTGCGTCAAGAGTGCGTCAAGAGTGCGTCATGAATGCGTCAAGAGTGCGTCGCGAGTGTGTCACGAGTATCACAAGTGCGTCATGAGTGCGTCACAGATATCACAAGTGCGTCGCGAATGCGTCACGAGTATCACAAGTGCGTCGCAAGTATCACAAATGCGTCATAAGTGCGTCATGAATGCGTCAAGAGTGCGTCATGAATGCGTCAAGAGTGCGTCATGAATGCGCCAAGAGTGCGTCACGAGTGTGTCACGCGTATCACAAGTGCGTCACAGGTATCACAAGTGCGTCGCGAATGCGTCACGAGTATCACAAGTGTGTCGCGAGTATCACAATCGCGTCATAAGTGCGTCACAAGTATCACAAATTTCATTGGTCTTCACATACCAATTAAAGAGCACCTAATTAAAAAAGTACCTAAAGTTAAAATTTTATTTCAGAAACCATCCATGCTAATTTAAGTATCTTAATTAAAATAAAGTACGTCATTTAATTAACTGAAAAAAAAAACGTCCCATCATTTCCGAAGAAAGCATTAAATTTTAACAAAAGCATTATCAGGAGATCCGATTTCTCAAAGAAACGCATCACGCGATTTACTCGAAAGCTGAAAAAAGAAGAACGTCGAAGAGTGCGTTCATCGACTCGTTCCATGAAAGAAACGAGTGAACTCTTGATTTATTCAGTACGGCCGGATGAGCTTTTATTATTTATCGTTACTTGAAAGTTGGCGGGCCGGTTTATCCGGCTTTTACGATTACCCTTAATGGCGGCCAGCGTAGAACTTTCGAAACGACTGGTTGCCTTCACCTCTTTACGCGATGCACTTAGCAGGGTCGAACAAGCCCGTTTTCATGGGAAATCGATGGAAAACGTATTAGGGCATAGAATAAACGGACCTGGTCTAGACTGGACCCTACCCACCGATATCTAATCGTGTTCTCGATACTCAAAGAAATCTGCTGTCTGTTTCAGCTTGGCGAAACACTGAACCCTGAACTACAAATCATAACCAGCGTGTTCAACAAAGTTATTCATCGTGGTGAGTGCTTTTGATTTCTATGAATTATCGTGCATGCTGGTATAATCTGGAAAATTCGGATCGGGGACAGTTTTAACCTTTTACATAGCCATCACTCTGTACAACCTTTAAGCTGAAAATACAAGATCATATTTAACCTCTTAACCTAACCTCTTACTGTCGTGTCTTTCGTTATTTCTGTGTATGGCAATCCACATGTGAGCTGAAAGCATGTGAGCTGAAAACACACGATCATATTTGTTACACTTATTAAATAATATTTGAATTAAATTAATATCTAGTTTTTAATGTAATCGTTAAGTATAAAGTTCGAGGTGACAAGGAGTCTTGTCGGGTAGCGCAGTCATAAAACGGGATCTCTCCATGGTCCGCGCTAGGCTACTAAAGGAGTACCATCTTAACCTCTTAGGCACGGCGCGCCACTATAGTGGTGGACACCATCTTTCCGTACGATGGTCCACTAGTGGCTTTCGCGAATGTCGTCGTAGATTACATAGCTATAGTTCACTCTACCGCCTCACTCCCCGTTTCAATCGAACGATGTTTTCATATGTTTTCGCACTTTTTTGCCTTCACGTTTCAGAGGAGTATTAACAAGTCCCACAAAAGTACATTACATGTAAATACAAGGTAAAGTTTAGGCACCATTGCACTAACACATATTGTAATATTTGGAAATTTTATGAATTTTCGAAAAGAGTAAATTATCAAGGTTAAAGTATATATAATTATAATTTAATCGTCAAACAAGAGAGAAGTCAACATTCTGTTTATGATTACCCAGTTATCTATCGTGCATTTTTAAAATATTTTTCAGACGTGTTAAAATGATGTGGTGTACTCGTACTTTATAATCGACGATTCATTGTAATTTCCTGTTAAATGCACGCGTCTACGCCGCCATTGTACACTATCAATACACATTTACGCATTAGTGCTTCAGACTACCCAGTTACAGGCTTTCAACACGATACACCCAGCTCCGTTAACGTCTGCTTTTGCACGTGGAATATTAATTGTTTCGTTCACGTCGCGTTCTATGATTACGATTTATCTTCTGTTCCTCCGCGTCGTCCTATTAGGAATGAATCGTTCGATAATTTCGTCAAGCTCTGTCGCGAATTAGTATCTCAACATTTCTTTAGGTAAATGTCTCATTCATTGAGGACAGTGAAATTTAATTTTTTTTACTCGTGACAACGTTATTTAACTGCTGAAAAATTTGAGGAATCACCAAGGATTCCGGTAAATGTCGACATTCACCGGTGAATTCTCCAATTTCGGTCTTTCACCGTAACACATGTACTACAATAAATTTATCAAATGAAATGTTATGAGTTAGAACCCACAGTATCGCCGTCCCTGAAGTGGCCGACAATATCGAGTCTCTACGAGATAAACTTACCCTTTCTCGAAAGCTGGCACGGATATCCGCCACGGAGAAGTGACTCGTTACCTTAAGAGAGTCATTTTCCCTGTCCCTTTTTTCCACCCTCTCCTTCCGTCCCGTTCTCCCTCCTCACCCTCGACTTTTCACCCTTTCGAGTCGTGTGCCACCCGGCTCCCCATCCCCGTAGCGTCGGCACACTCCCTTTCCTGGCACCATTTTATTTATTATCCGGGGTTATCCCAGCGACACAGACTGCGGCCAACTTTCCAGCGAGGCTCGCTGAAGCGGCCCGCACGGTATTTGGTGCGTGAACCGCGTATTCATCGTGTAACGCCCTCTCCCTTACTCGCAGCAACAGCTGCTACCACCGACATTCGTTCTCTGTCTGTTTCACCCTTTTGCTACGGGGACTCGGTTTTTCAGAGCCCTAACTCTTCCGCGTGCTTCCACGGAAGACCTTTTGATGGTCCACTAATTGCGGCCGCGTCTTTCAACCGCGGACACGCGACGATGAATCGCACCCCTCTTTTCACCACCTGACAGCATATCCGGATAAGTTGCGCCCTGGGGAATTTTAGCTGCTTTTTTTATGAATCGGATCCGTTCGATGTGTTTCCCTGAAAATTTCTCCCTAGATTCCCTCTAGATTCCCAAATTTCTCCCTAGATTTTCCTTAAATCCCCAAATTTCTCTCTAAACTTTCACCCAAAACTTTCATCAAACCTTCTTCGAACTCTGTCAAAAATTTCCCAGTAGCCCACATTTTCAATCCCCCAGAAAAAATTCGATAAAGCCCTCTGCACGCTTCGTTCGCGTCTCGTTTGTCAGGCAAATGGAGTACAACAGGTACAAACATCCAAACAAGATGACAAATTGCAGCTCTCTAATTGTATTCCCGATGAAGCCCGACAAAAATGACGAATCGGAACAAAACAACGGCCGGCGAAAACTAGAGATAGAAATCGTAAGAGAATCCCCTTTGTCGGCAATAAACACGACGGAGGAATTTCCAAGGGAAAACCGAGGGAAAGGATCGGCGAACGCGTCGGAGGAATTCAACGAAGCATGTCGATACTTCCCCCGAGGACCTTTCGCTCGTGTCCTGGCGTTAAACGATTCGCCGTGGAATGGCTTTTTACGAGGACACGGCATGGCGTCGTATCGACACGACACCGTGGCTCGATTTACAAGGGGCAACGATGTTGTCCGATGCCGGTGTCTGGCCAGCGAGCATAAATTCGGTGTGTCTGTGTATTTTAATCAATACCCTGTTGACACCGCGACCACCGCACATAAATCATGAGACAATGGGGCTGGACCGACAGGGGGGTGGATCTAAGTATTCCATTGTAGTGGCATCGGGCGACGATGCACGCTCGTACGGCACTGTCGACAACAATGGAACCTGATCTGCCTGTTGGAAAACTTTCCTAACTATTTACCGCGAAATTTACCACGTGACTGTATCGCTGTAGTGCGAGTTTATTTATCTTACCGATTTTTTTGCGGTTGCGATTAATCGGTTTGTTTTGGTCGTGTGATAGCTTTAATGCGCTGACCTCGATTCTGAAGAATATATATTTTGATTCGGTTTGGGACTTTTAATGTGAAGCGTTTGTGTGTTGACATTTATGTAGTGTAGTACGATCGTGAAAAAGCTAAATATTGGGATGGTGGAACTAGCAAAGTAGTAGTGTGATGGCGTAGATGATGTACAGACGAAATCGATATGTACAATAGTACAATAGTAGTGCAGCAGTATAGTGCTAATGTGTAATAGTAGAACAATAAATTGATAGCATAATAATATAGTAGTATATAGTAGTATATAGTAGTATATAGTAGTATATAGTAGTATATAGTAGTATATAGTAGTATATAGTAGTATAGTAGTATAGTAGTATAGTAGTATAGTAGTATAGTAGTATAGTAGTATAGTAGTATAGTAGTATAGTAGTATAGTAGTATAGTAGTATAGTAGTATAGTAGTATAGTAGTATAGTAGTATAGTAGTATAGTAGTATAGTAGTATAGTAGTATAGTAGTATAGTAGTATAGTAGTATAGTAGTATAGTAGTATAGTAGTATAGTAGTATAGTAGTATAGTAGTATAGTAGTATAGTAGTATAGTAGTATAGTAGTATAGTAGTATAGTAGTATAGTAGTATAGTAGTATAGTAGTATAGTAGTATAGTAGTATAGTAGTATAGTAGTATAGTAGTATAGTAGTATAGTAGTATAGTAGTATAGTAGTATAGTAGTATAGTAGTATAGTAGTATAGTAGTATAGTAGTATAGTAGTATAGTAGTATAGTAGTATAGTAGTATAGTAGTATAGTAGTATAGTAGTATAGTAGTATAGTAGTATAGTAGTATAGTAGTATAGTAGTATAGTAGTGTAGTAGTGTAGTAGTATAGTGGTATATAGTAGTATAGTAGTACTTAGTAGTATAGTGGTATAGTAGTACAGTAGTATAGTAGTATAGTAACATAGTAGTATAGCAGCATAGTAGCATAGTAGCATAGTAGTACAATAGTATAGTAGTATATAGTAGCATAGTGGTGTAATAGTACAGTAGCGTAGTAGTACAGTAATATAGTAGTACAATAGTATAGTAGTATTTGGTAGCATAGTGGTGTAATAGTACAGTAGCGTAGTAGCACAGTAATATAGTAGTAAAATAGTATAGTAGTATATAGTAGCATAGTGGTGTAATAGTACAGTAGCGTAGTAGTAAAGTAATATAGTAGTACAATAGTGTAGTAGTATATAGTAGCATAGTGGTGTAATAGCACAGCAGCGTATTAGTACAGTAATATAGATGTATAGTGATATTTCAGTATAGTAGGATAGTTGTATTATGACACAGTGATATTTATGGTATAACAGAATTTTTGCACGGTATATTAGTATAGTTGTATCTATTGTATAGTAGTATAGTAGTATAGTAATATAGTGATACAGTTGTACTTGTTGTATAGTAGTATAATAGTATAGTGGCTCAATGCTACTTTTAATATAGTAGAACAGTAATACAGCACTGTAATGGAACAATGGTACTTGTCGTATAGTAATATAGTGACACAGTGGTACGTGTGGTGCAATAATATAGTAATATAATTGCACAGTGGCTCTTATGATACAGTAGTATAGTAATATAGTGGCACGGTGGTTATTGTCGTATAGTAGTAGAGTAGTATAGTTACACAGTGGCTCTTATGGTACAGTAGTATAGTAATATAGTGGCACAGTGGTTCTTGTCGTATAGTAGTGTAGTAGTATAGTGGCACAGTGGCTCTTATGGTACAGTAGTATAGTAATATAGTGGCATAATGGTTCTTGTGGTATAGTAGTAGAGTAGTATAGTGGCACAGTGGTTCTTCAGGTATAGTAGTGTAGTAGTATAGTGGCACAGCGATTCTTATGGTATAGTAGTATAGTAGTATAGTGGCACAGTGGCACAGTGGTGCTTGTGGTATAGTAGTAGAGTAGTATAGTGGCACAGTGGTTCTTCAGGTATAGTAGTGTAGTAGTATAGTGGCACAGCGATTCTTATGGTATAGTAGTATAGTAGTATAGTGGCACAGTGGTTCTTCAGGTATAGTAGTG